TCACCTAAGTTTAAGGGATCCCCTAAGCATGGTCAGGGGGCTGTTAGTGGACAGTTTCTGTTTCACCAATAGTTAGGGGTCACCTAAATGTTAAAATGCCACCTAAATATAGATACTAGAAATACGGACTCTGACGATGGTAAAAAAAATTAATTTAGGGGCTAGTTTAGTCCCCTAAACTTTTAAGATAGGGATCCCATACGTAGGTGGTAGCTTAAGTGATGTTGATGAAATCCCATGAAAACGTGGATTGGTTGTCAAAATAGGTCAAGTAAATCTACAGGTTACCTTCTACAAATAAACAAACAAACGGATTTCAGTTCAATATAAAAGTAAAAATATAAAATTTAGGTAAAATTTATATGAAAAGCTAAAACAGGGTACTATGCACTTTATGTATAAAATATAAATAAACAATGAACACGTGTACGTCAACGACTCATTCAAAGTATATTTTCGATTGACAGTTACAAAAAAAGCTCACTCAAGCATGAGTCATATACGAAATTAACATTGTTTGTACAACGCGGATATGCTTTAAACAACCGACATAGGAGGATAATTAATAACTTATAACAAATAGTTCGAGTGCGAGGCAGATACTGTAACAAATCGATTCATTTGGGAAACGGCGGTCATATTGATTTAAGTATGTTTAGTCAAATAATTTTTAGATGTTCTTAGCATTTCATGGTAGGTATCTATAGAAAGAAAAAAATATTATAATACTGTCTTACATTTACGCGAATATTTGACATTTTAAATAAAACTATCTTTTCGGATTATTTCGCGGATTTATTTTGATTTTTGGTTTCCGACGTTTCGAATGCTTTACAGCATCCATGGTCACGGGAGAGACTGTTTTAGATGTCTCAAAGTCGTTATATACTTGTTATAGATAGATTTTTGTAAAATTGTGAGTAGGCACTGTGTGTAAAGCATTCGAAATCGTCGGAAACCAAAAATCATTATAAATCCGCGAAATAATCCCAAAAGATAGTTTTATTTAAAATAAAATATTATATATTATAGTTATTTTAATAACAAAACTGTGTATGTATTTAAGTTGTATGTGTATAGGTGTACTAATAAATAAATCCATAACTGTGTAAAAATAACAAATGAAAGATTAGTTTTTTTTCTATTTTACATTATGATAGACATTAATGGAACTGTAAAAATGGCGTGAAACTGAGCTGTCATCATTTTCACGGTTCCCGTTTTACATGTGTAAAAAATATGTAAATATGTCAGAAATACGTGTTTAATGTATCTGAACGTGATGAAAATTTTATTCAACACTTGACATTGGCATTAGTTAATAAACAAGCCACATTGCTATAAATAAAAAAGTAGGAGATTGGTAAATAATTTTTAGAATTTATTTTACTACAGTATATTTTTAACGCAACTTATAATGTTTTATTTTTTAATATATTTATTTAATTTTACAATATAAGGGTAAAACAGGCAACACACTGTCTGATATGAAGTAGGAAATGCGATAAATCATTTTTTTTCGTATTACAACGTTGTCATAATACCTAAAAAATAGAATTTTATGTTTATATGTAGAAAATATCAGTATAAAGAACTACTTAAAAAATGAACACAAAACCTTCTTTTTGGAAGTTGGTTGATTATGTACTCTGTCATGTAGAATTATAAACTCTAAAAGTATTGTGTCTATTAGAAGTAGTATATGTATATAATAAATAACTAAAATAAACATAAAAATCATAAAAACCTAATATGAATTAATGAGCATTTTTTCGACCAAATATAATATACATACATATGTATATATGTAGCAAAATTTCACATTATTTACTTCATATATTTATGTTATGATGTAATACAGAAACAAATGTGGACGATGAAACGCCACTGACCTATTTCCCGACGAACATGACTCACAGTATAATGTAAGGGATGAGATTTAATTCATATATGAGATGACTTCATTTTGAATTTTCCAGTCTTTATATTATTTTGAAAACGAATAATATTTTGTTTGGAAACGCTTTTGAGAAATATTTTATAATGGAAGTTTCAGAATCATTATTTATATCCATTTAAAACAACCGTTGAGGTAAAAACTAGCGACTTAACATCGTTTCGCTCAGATGTGTCCCGGTCCACCCCCCCCCCCTCCCCTCCCCAAACGTGTCAAATAATAGTCGTGTAAATTCTAGTCTTCATTTATACTAATATTATAAAGAGGTAAAGTTTGTGAGTTTGTAAATTTGTGAGTTTGTGACGTTGTAGGGGGTAATCTCTGGAGCTGCTGAACCAATTTTGATGAAATTTGGTAAGAAGATAGTTTGATACCCTGGGAAGGAACTTTTTATCCCGAAAATCATCCCTTAAGGTGGTGAAAATAGGGATGAAAATTTGTATTGGGAAGCAAGCTAGGGACGAACCCGAGCGACGCGAGTGCGAGTCGCTAGTAGAATATACGAGCTTACAGAGCCTTTTTTCTTTGAACAGCCCATGATAACCCGAACAAGGTTTAAAGCCTTCTATAAACTTTCCAATTATTTAACAATAACGTTTGCTATAAAGAAAAACAATAGAGATTTCGCCTTTATATTAGACATTCATTTTGTATGGAAACGTACTAGCGATACTAATATCAAACCAGTCATATAAATCTCATATACACAAATCATTATGAAATGATTTAAAATCATCAATAATGAGAAACAAAGAGTAGAAAACGACAAAGGCGGTATAGACAGGTACGATATATTGCAAGTACACATTCTATGGCCATTCTTCACAACCTATTGTTTTCATGAGAAGTTAGGCAGCTGTTACATACAGGGAACTAGCACATATCTATCATAATAGTGACATCGATAGCTTTTATTAATATCGACTCGCCCTAGTTTATGTACTAACGTTATCACTAGTTTCGATGTTAGTTCTATGGGAACGTTGGTGTGCTTCCTTACTACCTTGATGCTTTTAAATAGATACACCTCCAGGTAAATTTCTAAGGAATTAATTAAAATTCTTAGAAATCTATTGTTAACTAACACGCCAGTGTGTCCGCGGTCGTGGAGGGATTAATAGTTATTGCACTTGTGATTTAGGAGAAAGACTTATGCTATTGCAGATTTTGCCTGTGTAGGCAGTAGACCTTTTTAAGACCTACAATTTTCTAAGACATTATTTTGATGTATCCCTTTAGATTTAACCAGCACTAGCTATGTAAATAGAGCTATGGAAATAAAGATGACTCAACAGAATCAGTTCTGATGTTTTCCTGAGGAAGTGAAAGATTTTCCTGACCTGAGTAATAAATTATATCTACGAAAATTTACTTAAAACTGGTTCAGTACTTTTTGCGTCAAATACACACAGATATACAGACAAACAGCCAAAGATTTTTTTTATACGTAGGTATAGACGCGAAAGTGTGTTTATTTATTAATTTCTATTTTTTCCACATCGAGCGGATCGATATGATTTTTTTGGTTTAGACAAAGCTTCTATTGCTCACATAGTAACAAACATGATGAGATTCTTTAATATGGTCGTGTACATACATACATACTACATATTTTCGTAATACTTATCGGTTTATTTTCATTTTCCAATTAAAAATTGTTAAAAATAGGTTATTAAAGACGTTGCATGAATTTATTATCGATTTCATAAATCATTGTTCTTCAAACCACTCTTGATACTTTTTGACCAACTCCAAAAAAGGAAGATACTCAATTTTTCACGGCTACATAGTTTTAGTGAAACATAACGTAGCGCGATGTCTTCACCATTTGTTTCACATTCGCTATTTTGGATTTCCATTATTAACGAACACGCCGTATTCAAAATCTTTTTAAACAAAACTATCTTTTCGGATTTTTTCGCGGATATATTTGGATTTTTGGTTCCCGACGTTTCGAATGCTTTACAGCAATCATGGTCACGGGAGAGACTGATTGTCAAATATTCGCGTAAATCTAAGAAAGTATTATCAAAAAATCTTTTCACCCCTAATGGTCAAATAATTAGTTTTAAATATTTTATGGTCGCTATACCATTTTTAGTCAAAATTAAATTATATGTTAAGGTTTCAAGATTTCATCATGCCATTATGCAAAATGTATATTTTAAAGATTTTATACAACGAATTTTAGTGACCTTCAATATTTAACGACAGACCAGTCGAGTTTTACACTTTTATGCTTAAGGAGAAAGCGGCATGATAATTTATTTCAATTCATCATTAATACAAATTATTTTTATATAAGGGATAAATTTTGAGAAAGTGATGCTGTAATTAAGTTTTACATTCGAAGTTAAAAAGGCAAGGTGTTGCAAGAGCCTTGCGAAGGTGACAACGAAATTTCTGATAAAATCTACATACTCTTTAAGTTGCTGCTGATACCGTTGTTTTTATTAACCGACTTCAAAAAAGGAGGTTATCAATTCGACATGTATGTATCTATATCTATGTATATGTAATTTATATACACAATGGAAACTTTGATATGGACGCAAAGTTTAATAATATTATAGTTTAACAGAAAGTAAAAAATATTTCTTTATTTGTTTGCATGTTTTGTTATTCATGTAAAACACGATCAAAAATGTAAGCAAAATAAAATATATCGTGTCATAAGGTTAAATTAATAATAATTTATTGCTGGAAGAAAGTGACTGTACTCCCAAGAAGCTGCTTATTTATTAAAGGCATCTTATAAATAAATTTGGTATGTCAAATACTCAGAATTACATAGAATCTTTCAGAATGAAAAGTTCACTGTCGACGTTCTATTAATGTCTACAATCACCCTTAAAGTTTTAATGTTTTTGGAACAGCTGTTGCGTGAATCATACGACATTGGCGTGAGAAATGCCGGGAAACACGAGTAATGTATTTAAACATCTGACCATGAATCTGATCTCGGATTAAGAGAAACCGTAAACGAAGTTATTTACTTCAATATAAATGATATGCAAAATTTTCTCCAATGAAATCTTGACTACTTAGTGTATATACCTGTTATTATTGTATCACAGTTTATTGCTTTAAACTGTAGCAGAAATCATAAAGATTAAGTAAGTCATAAGTATTAATTGTTAAATTACTATTCTACGAATGAAATTTATAAAGATGACTTATAGTTCTATTATTCCTTGAATTAATTTTGGGTGCAAAGTCCACATACTCTGCGTTGTTTACATCAAATGCAACAAAATATTAAATATACATATGTATCATATACAAATTACCATATTCTCTCATAGCTATTAAACAATATACCTAATGGGATGATAAAGAAAAATTATTAATATATATTTACTTACGTTGTGCTGATGTAGAGTCAAGATGACGTTGTCGAATGTCGAGGAGTTTGATAGTGCTTCAGAACTGCCACGTAGAAGTTCAGCCAAAAGGTCCGTGCCAGGCTTAACGCCTGCTAACTTGGATGGCGATGATGTGGCTCTCACGTGTGTAGGTCCTTTAGACCTGTTACTACCAGTGGACACCGCCCCAGCGCTAATTTTTCTACAAGGTACTGTTGCGTCTGAAAAGCTTCTGCGACCAACTTCAGCAGATCTACAAGAAGGAGCCTCTAAGTTTTTACCAAAAGGTCCTCTATTAAATTGTTGGCGCCTTGCTTCTACGTCCGACGTATCTGATGGACTAAAAGGAGATGGTGAGGCGGTTCTATCGCGAGAGCAGGAATCGCTTTCCGCCTCTGATGGGGAATCTCTACGAGAAACCACACCATATTTTCGTCTTACTCGATATGACTCATCATCTCTCTCATCAGAGCTTTGCTGAGAAAATCTAGCACGCCGAGCCCTTAACTCCTCTGATCTCGGCCATATAGGTGTTGATGTTTCGCTTGGACTTGGTGGACCATTTGTACAAGAGTCATCTGATTTTTCTCCAAGTAGCGAAGATGTTCTAGCTTCAGCTGATAATCGCATATCGGAAAGAGAAACGTCACTACTTTCACGTTTACATCCGTTCACAGAAGCGGCCGGGGGTTCTTCTTCGCCACCGTCGTCGCTTGCAGTAGTAATATATATGCCTTTTCTCCTCTTAGTCTTATCGAGTGGTCTACGTCTTTCTCTAGTACCAATAGGCGCTGCTGTGCAAGGATTTTGTACAGCTGCTAATAAATATGCAACTTGTTCACTGGTTATTGTCTCATCTTCTTTATCTCGATCTAAAGAACCATCAGACGCACCATCTGAGCGCTGTGCATCCTCCGTTGGATGCTCTTTTGACCACTGTTTCACTATACACTCATATACAGGCACAGGTATCGGAATCGAACTGTCGAGTTCACTAACAGATTCTTTGCGCGAAGGATAATTAGCACATTCACAGTCTACGTTAGCACACACATTCGTGGGAGGAGCAGGAAGGGGAGGGAACGCAAAGGGCTGGGCGGGTTCTAGAGGTGATGTCCCTTCACTATGCGCTTGCGCACTATCAGCCTGCGAACCGTCACTTTCTTCACGTAATTCATGTAAAACACGAGTTGCCATCAACGCCGGTAAGCTACCTCCGGCATCAGTCGATGCCTCCTCCCGCACTGGAGGCACGCGGCGCGGTAGAGGGTGCGTTAGCGAACGGGCACCGAGTTGTTTATGCAGCGCATCGGGAGGTGTGGAACGCGGCGCCGGTGACGCATGCACTATGAGTCCTTCGTCTGAGCCAACAGCAGAGTCAACCGATGCTACCGATCCTCCTTCCGTCACATTTTCTTCCGTAACACTAGTAGTGTCCTCTCGACCTGATGCGGACTCAGTCTCCTCTATTCTTTTATTGCGTTGACCGAAATCAAAAATCGAGGGCTGTTTCTCGCGATAATATTTCTCCTGAGCAAAGTCGCCTTGCGAGAAGGACGCACTGCGATATGGAATAGTCTTTTGCGCGTAAGATCCTACAATAGAACGTGGCTCGACGCGGACTAAAGTGATTTTGTCAGCATCAAAATCGTCAAAACGATCTACGGATACACCACGGGTCGGACTGTGTCGATGTCGGGAGCGTGGCGGCGGCACAGGAGGTAGCACTGGCGCGGAGTGCGGCGGTGGTGGTGGGGGCGGGGGTGGCGGAGCTGGAGGTTGCGCGCGAGGCAGTAGCCGCTCGGTGAAGTCACGCAGACGCTGGTGGCGCGTGGTGGTAGAGCGGGGCCGCTCGTCGCGCCCGCGGCCCAGGCGGCGCTGGAAGCGCTCCAGCGTGCGGCGGTCGGGCTTGGCGCGAGCGAGGCACGCCGCCACCGCCTCGTCGGAGCAGCAGCGGCACGGGCAGGCGCGAGGCGGCGGCGCGCGGCGGACGGTGTAGCGCACCGCGCCCAGCGTCACGTACGGAGACCTGCGCACACGCAGATATATTTAGCGTAACGTGCAACCCGCCGAGCGGTCGGGCGGCGAGTGCCAGATTTAGAGCGGCCAGCTTCCCCCGCGACTCCGTGAATTCCGGGAGGATTCCCCGCGACCCACTCTGGCGGAGAGTTATATCGGAGCGGATGATTCGCATCTGCGCTTCGCTTTGAACAGCCATTATGGACGTTAGACGAAAAGACATATATAAACGAACTTGAAATAGTTTAAAGCGTGCCACTTATATGAACATAGACATTTATTACGAGAAACAAAAAATGCAAGATTCGCTAGAGAACGACAGGTGGCAGACAGTCAGACGGAAGACGCCATGTTATAAATAGTTGGACGTTGGCAATTCGGTGATACGCGACCTCGTAACAATGTTTACATCTCGTATCTTGTTGCAGAGGACTAATTTATGTTATTATATTTAATGCATTCCTTGAATTACGTACAATGAAATAAGAGGAAAGACAAATCGTTTTAATGAGAGAGCAAATAGAGGAGACGCAAATACGCCTCCACGCTGCCTACACGTAAAAAAATTACATGATTGAAACACTAATACCTAATAAACTGACTCATACTCGCCCATTTAGTTCAATATGAGGTTTATTATAAGCGTGAATAGAATTATTAAATTTTGTTTATCCTTGCTTACTCATAACATTTGTTTTTCAAGCGTATTTTTGAGTAATTTGTAACTATTAAAAGAACTCAATTCAGGTATAAAAACAAAGATGGAAATTTTAGCCTAGAAGAATATTGTATGGAATAAGCTTACATTTAAAAAAAATATATAAAATGGTAAATACAGGGGACCTGGTGAAGTCGCGTCTTCTTCGGACGCCATCTTGAGGGGAGCGAGGACGCGCGGTCGCCATTGGTCACGTGACACCGCGCATAGTGCGCTCCTACTTGCACATCTGAAACAAAAAAATATAAATTAACTACAACAATATATGCTGTTAACGACACCCTATGCTTGGGTACATCTTTAGGTCCCATTTTTTGTTTACGCTGGGAAAACCTATCATGGAGACCCTACCGGCCGTCAATGGATAGGGTACTGTGAGATTCCTACTCACTAAAATCCACAGCGGAACCCATCGCCGCAGTGCAATGGGGATTTGCAGGATCACATCCCTAGGTACCTAGCAGCAGCCTGTTTTACTCCAGGTCATACATAGCCTATCTGTGTACTTAATTTCATACAAATCTGTCGAGACGTTTCAACAATAACGAGAAGCAAAGATGCACTCACGCATACAAATTTTGTCATTTACAATAGTAGTAGGCACAAGAATAATATCTGAACCATAGATATCATAAAATTTTCTTACTTATTTAAAACATTCCCCAAAACACAATATTATTCAGGTGACATTGGATTCATTCAATAATTTTCCACATTTTGTATATAGGTATAGTGTTATTATTTAATTAAATAATAAATATATGAAACTGAAGAACTTGTTTTATTACTTTTTTGTTTATTCGAACGCGTAATCTTTGGAGCATCCGAACAAAGAAACAATCGTGTGTGCCTTAGCCTATTTATTGTAAACGTCACACTATGGGGTTAAAGGCCATACATAAACAAACTAACTGTAATAAACATAAAAAAACAAACATCTAATATCATAATAAACAACAATATCGGTTAACAATTGTTCTTCGTTTGAAAATAATTATTAAAACCAAAATTAATACATTTTCCCGTAATAAAATTACATCTAACAAAAGGTTATTGGTTTGGAACAGAATAAACAGAATTACAACCGGAAGTACATACAGTTGCGTATTATCAAAGTTCATATTTTATTTACATATAATATCATATTTCACAAAGCTTGCAAACTCTTTTGATGTTTCAGGGCAATGCCACCTGAGAGGTAATAAAATGGGCTAATAAAACAAATAATAGGGTACTTAGTGGGTAAGTAAAAACAAAATTATATGTTATGAGTATGTATGGCAATATTGTTTATATATTGCTGTACCAGAAGTCATGAATGCCTTGCCTAAACGTGATAAATATTTGTGTTGCTTATAATAATAATTAACTTCTATTGATTTTGGTCATGGCGGCCAAGGCACTGTGCAATCTCTATTCCTTACTCTCTCAAACTCCCATGGGACCACAAATCAACACGACCGGTACGGGAGTATAACACAAAGCTAGTTAAAAATTTAATTCAGATTTGTGTTAATGCTTATATTTTATGATTAAAAGGTAATCTTTTTCATTATCAGCAACTTAGCCTCGCTCGTTGTATCCCAAGATGCCATTTGTATTTAAAATCTATACATATAATAAAATTCTAAGAGTCGATCTGTAAAATAAATATTTTTGGAAAAGCTTATTGAAATAGTCATTATTATCTGTCTGTTTGTATATCTGGGTACGTATCACAAGAAGACCACTAGATAGACTTTTGATGAAATTTGGTATGATGATAGCTGGTTATCCGGGTCAACAGATAGGATACTTTAAAAAGTAAAGTGCAGGAAAATATCTCATCTCTGAGAAATTATACTAAACGTTAAATCGTTATAAGGGACGAATCCAAGCGGAGCGAGAATGAGTCGCAGTCGCAGTGCCACTTTTTGGCAGATTTTATAGTAATAAAGTAACGATACTCTATGTACTCCTTCAGTTCACAGTTTATTTGTGTACTAAATTTTACCTAGATCCGTCTAACCATTTTAGCGTGAAGAAGTTATAAACATAGGTACACATTTACAAACTTTCGTATCTATAATAGTAATGTGATTTCACCATACTGTTTCTTTTGTCTCGTATTACGCATTAAAAAATATTTATATATTTAACTTTTTAATAACAATACATAGTTAACTACAGAAAGAATTTTACTTTAATATTTAGAATTACAATCACCCAACCAACCAACAGCACAAAACTTACTGATATATCTCTCCATTTCAGTACCTGTAGTTTTCTGAGATACGAGTAATATAATATTATTATATTAACCAATTGGCCAGTAACAGGTGGACGTTTAATATTAAAATGTATTGAAATAGCTTTCTAATACCTGATTTCACCAACAACCCATAAGCTACCACCTACGTATGGGATCCCTAGCTTAAAAGTTCCCCTAAACTAGCCCCTAAATTAAATTTCGTTTTACCATCGTCAGAGTCCGTATTTCTAGTGCCTATATTTAGGTGGCATTTTAACATTTAGGTGACCCCTAAGTGTCGGTGAAACAGAAACTGTCCCCTAACAGCCCCCTAACCATGCTTAGGGGATCCCTTAAACTTAGGTGACGTTGGTGACGTTCGTCATCTTCACTACAAAGATATTTTAATAATGTATTTATTGTACGTATAAATCACCGATAAAAAAGTAATTTTTGAAATTCAACTTTTTGCGTAGTTATTGGAGATTTCATATCAAAAAGGACACAGTGTTCTTTTAGTAAAACTATTTATTTGTCACAAGTTTGACTGTGCTGTGTCTAAATAATTCTATTTATTTATTCAGTACTAGGTGATTCGACGGACTTTGATCTGTCCAAATTTCAATTTTATTTACCATACCGAAATTCTATAGCAAAAAAAACAATTTTATATGTATTAATTAACTCTCAACTTCTTACATATTATATCTAATCTATATAATCTTTCTGTAAAACTCTTAATAAGATCATTACACCTGTTTTAGTATTATTTTTTAAGTCAAACTAGCCAGTGTTCAGTGGTGCCACCTACTGAAGTTCCAAGGTACCGCGTGCGGTTTAGGCATATGCATAGTTTGGGCGGGCGGGAAAGCTACTTTGTTATTGATACGTTCGATAGATGTCGTGATTTAAATTCAGTTTTTAATTTTAAATAATTATTTCTGTACTATATATATATATATATATATAAGATATATATATATAATAGAAGGGGTATAATTGATAGGACTTTTGATTTTTTTATTTTTTTTTTGTATATTAAAAGTTTTACTGAAAGCTTTACCAGACCTTAATGAAAATATTTGCTATTCAGAGATTAATGACATCCGAGAAAAGAAGAATTTTCGTACAAATTAAAAAAGATTAAGTATATTATAACCAAGTACAAAAGTGAATACGTTAATCACATTGAAACTGACAATTGTGTGAGTTTATTACAACTATTCGTATTGAAAAGATTGTCTATTCAATTTTTTTTGAGGCTTCAAGGAGTGTCAATTTAATTGTCAAATCACACGTGGAGAAGACAAACAAAATTACAAAGATATTCACAGCAAAGGATATGGTCGCTGTTTGTTCGGACATTATTATTTTTTATTTATTACTTTATTTATGTACTACAAAAATACATATAAAATATACATAAAACAAATACCATATGTAGTGTGTACAAAGGATGACTTATCTGTTTAAGAGATCTCTACAAGAAACTCTTGAGCGTGTGAAAAAAATAACGAAGGCGGTGTAGGTACAAACCACAAACATCAATTATTATGTAAATGCTCGTGCTGTATGTTAGTGAAATTTTAGGTTTATATGTATTTTTTAATGCAGAACCATAAAAAAAATTGTTTTGTCCAAAAAATAAAAAAATATTTTTGGGGTGGACCACCCTTATCACTTAGGGGTATGAAAAATAGTTTACATTCTATTGTCAGACCTACTGAATATACACTCAAAATTTCATAAGAATCGACCGAAAATTCATAAGCCGTTTCGGAGGATCTTGTTACAAACACTGGTGACACGTTTCAGACAACACGTTTGGCTCAGTTTGTAGTGACCCTACTTGCTGCACCAGCGGCCGCGGGTTCGAATCTCGCTGGGGGCATTCATTTGTGTTTATATTTATGTGTGTTTTAAAGTTATATATGTGTAGTGTATCAACTACATATCTGGTATCCATAACACAAGCCTCGTAGCTTACCACAGAACTAGATGGTACTGTGTGTAAATGTCTGAACATATTTATTTATTTTATTTTACACAAACATACACAGATAAATAAAAACAAATGCTCTTTGACTAAGGTAAACATTTAAAATCAAAGTTGTACTTCTTAAATATTTCTAAAACTTGTATACTTTATATCTTCTATTATATTTAAAACTAGCATTGCCCGCGGCTCCGCCCGCGTTCAGATGACCAAAAATCAAATTCTTGGGTTTTTCATATAAATATACTCTTACATTGCAGTTGTTGTCTGTATTTTTTCTCAGAAATGAGACCTTTTCCTGCGGTAAAATGTATCCTATATGTTGACCCGGATAATCAGCTATCACCATTGTAAATTTCATCAAAATTCCTCCAGTGGTTTTTCCGTGACGCGGTAACAGACAAGCAGACAGACAGACACACAAAAATTCTAAAAACTATAGATTCGGCCTCTGTATCTGTAATAATGTCTATTACAATAAGATTTTCCAAAAAATATTTAATGTACAGATTCGACTTAGAATTATTACAAATATAAACTTCAGTTTTAATTTTCACTTAATCAAAATTTCAATTAATGTTTTTAAATGTAAGAAAACGAATTAATGTTTTAACGCTGTGTACTTTACAGATTATACGTGATTTATTACGATCTCTTAATGTAACATGAACATTTATGTTTCTATAGCAAAGTGACTCATATATTATATTCAGTTATAAAACTGTTTTTAACAATTATATTGCTAACTAGCTTTGCCCGCGGCTCTGCCCGCGTTCAGATGACCAAAAACCAAATTCTTAGGTTTTACATATTAGTATACTCTTACATAGCAGTTTTTAATTTTTTTCTCAAAAATGATGTTTTTCTCCGGTAAAAAGTATCCTATATGTTGACCCGGATAACCAGCTATCACCATACCAAATTTCATCAAAATCCCTCCAGTGATTTTTCTGTGATGCGGTAACAGACAGACAGACAGACAGACAAAAACTCTAAAAACTATAGATTCGGCCTCTGTATCGATAATAATGTTTATTTCAATAAGATTTTCCAAAAAATATCCAACGTTCAGATTCGGCTTAATTACAATTTTATTATATGTATAGATATATCAAGTGAATATACGCTTAAAAAAGCACATAATGACGAACAGAGAACCTTCTTTTTGGAAGTCGATTAAAAAGTGTGATTATTTAATTTTAAAATGAGAGAATTTACCGCACTAAATTGTTTAATATATGAGTTTTTAACCCTGCTACTAATAGTTTTTGTTTAATAAATCATTGAAATTTTTGTATATAGGACAACTCAGTTGCCACAGTTATTGTATTTTCCTGTGGGAATGAGAGATTTACCTGTAGTAAAAATTATCCAAAATGTTGGCCCGAGAAATACAATCACAACAAAAAAAATTAGTTAAAATTCGTTTAGTCGTTTTTGCGTGAAATAGTAACAAACATACATCCATCCAACTTTAGTAGGATATTCACTTCAATCGAAGTACCAAAATATTAAACTTCTTTAATAAACGTATTAAGCATATAAATATATATAAAATCTTATAAGAGCGTGGGCAAGACGACGATAAAAAAGTTTTAAACACAATAATAACAGCCTTTGTACCTTTAATTCTCATAATAAATTATGTACATATCATGACAATTTATCTTACAAATGAAACTCCGATAAAAAACAATTATCTTTTAAATTGA